TAGAAGAGCCAAGCAGCACTGAAATTCATTAAGTGTGTTTGTCCCTTGTGTGGTTGAGGGATCCAAACTCTTTTCAAGACCTCTGACTGTGGGAAGTCAAATGCCACATGTCCGTTTGCTGCAACCCCTTTTCACTTGCAGCTGCTCTGACTCAGCCTCCCTAAAGTGTCCTGTCTGTCCACATTCAACCCAGTATGACCAACGAGTATTACACTTGGACATGCAAATGGGAATCTGGTGCGTTAATTTCTCCTCCTCTTTGCCCTAAACATCTGTAATTAAGTTTAGGACTGACATGCTGGACCAATCACTCCCTGCCCAGCAGCTGGTCCCCTAACAAATTTTTTAGTCCAGCCCAGGGATTGCACAGATTGTAGGTAAACTCTGCAGTGTCCTCTGGAATCCATCATCCCCAGAGTTCCTGTTACTTAGGTGTTCAGGCATTACTGGTAAGGTAATTCCTCATTCAGAATAAAAATGACTCTTTCTTATTTTCATATTTCATTATTTATTTACATAGAACTACACTCGTTAGCCATCCAATAGAATCTACTTTAGTACAGGGAGACCAAGCCCAACCATCTAATTTGTGTTACACAGTAAGACAGGATGTATCTTTCCCTAGTTCAGAAAAGACACCTTACTTAAAAACTTAACAACTTAAAGTTGTTACATCCTTTTAAAAATAAAGTTGTCACATCTCTAAATAAAGGGGATGTGACATCTTTTCATAAGAAAAATAAAAGGAAAGCTTCTGCTCTCACTTTTCTTCAGTGAAAGCTCAGAAGTGGTTAGACTAGCAGAGTTTATGATTTGCCCTACCAGATGCAGTCTGTGGCAGCTGGTAGTGGACAGTACATCTTGTAGCTGTAAAATGAAGACACTGCTGCTTCTTTTCTATTATCCCTTGTCTGCTTAGCCTGCTTAGTTTCCAAGCTCTTGGTCTGTTATTATATCTATGTTGAACCATTTATGTTGAAACATACACAGCAAATCCTTGATTCTACTTGAGGGACCTTTATCCTTCTTATTAGAAACATTTTGTAGGTAAAGAATAAAACTAAATACAAGTGGTTGGGAATGAAACAAACCAGGAGTCTACAAAACAGAGCACATAGCTGTACTGCAGCAAGCCAGACTGCTGACATGCATCTATTACAAACTGGAGTAAAGCATATCCTCAGACAGAATTTAAAATTTACTCCTGCCAGATAAATGGTTCCTTCAACCTTTCAGCCTGCCAAGCACTAAATTTCTACCCAGTCATCACTGAGCAATAACTATTGAATTCTAGATAATTCATGCAGTTCACAGATCCAGCTTTGTAACAAGTTATTGAAAGCAAATCAATTCAGTTTCTCTAAGAGAATGAAGTAAACTGAAACCTGCAGAAAGCATACTCCAAAGACTGGTCTTTCTTCTCTTCACACCATATCATATACCCTACCCTCAAAGAAATCCCCCTTCCTTCAGAAGAATCTGCAATAAAATATTCCCTTCCAAAACAATCACAAATTTAACATTTCCCAAGTTCATCCTCCTTTTTTTCTCCTGATTACTAGCCGAGTTCTCCAAAGACAAATAACTTTTCTTTAATCATACCAGAAGAAAGTTGCCCCCTTGTGCATATACACTGCAATACAGTCCTTAATTACATAATCAGAATGTATTTTTCCCAAAGGACCCTGCTTCATTCAGCATACAAGATGGAGTGCACTCGAGGAACGAACTAAGGATACATGGTGATTAAAGATCTATGCGCTTTTTTACAAGGTTAAAAGGAAAAAGAAAGGGAAACAAAATTGAACAACACTCTACAGAAACAGATTCTACCCCAGGCTCTGCCACTGAGTTTCCAGTTGATACTAAACAATCTTTTAACTCAAAATTTGTCCACTTTGTCCCTCCCTATGCATTTCTCATTTTCTGAATGATCAAATGAAGATTCTGGCTCTGATCTGCAAAAGTTCTCGCAACACAATGATGAATAAAACAACACATACTTAAAGCACGTGAAATGCTTCAACACCCTGAAGAATTATTTCTAGCTGTTTGAACTGAAGCAAATTTACTATAATAGTAACACTTTAGTCTCTCACAGTCTCAGTACCCTATCTGTAAAATGGGAATAAGAACTTTTGGTGTTTCTGTGAAAATCAATTTGATTTTATTAATTTGAAGGTCTAAGCCACTATTGGCATGGGTGTCTTGGAGGAAAGCTAAGAGGAAAGTAGTAATTGCTTATGTAGAAAAACATTTGAATTCAGGAATATGGCCTATATCATGCAAACATGTGAGGAAAACAATACACTGAAAAATTATTTACTAATTGAGTTTCTTCACCCTGCAGTAAGCAAGGAAAGTCCTGTGGAAAAAATGTTATATATTCAGTAATAATGATATTATCATTATGTTTATACCTGAGAATTAAATTATTGATGCACAGAAAACCTGTATGATACTTTCCAACATTTAGGCACTTGATCTTTTATTGTAACTTCAACTATTTTTGACTTCTTTGCATGCAATGTGGACACACACATGCACAAGCCGTGAGAGAAGTTAACAAGAGTCAAAGAACTTCTATTTGAAATGATGCCTTTATACATATTGACAATTAATTCTCAACTAAGAGATCAACTTGAAGGTTAAAAGATTAAAAAAAAAAAGAGCTGTGTAAAACCAGACCCCTAACCAGTTACTCTAAGCAAATGCAGAACAGCATAAAAGGGAAAACCAAACTTCTGATCATGAAGAAGGCCAAAAAACCCCCTTACGGTTAGTGACATTAAATATTACTTGGAACAGATGTTATCAAATGCATGTAAAGATTTACATCTGTCTTAAACACAGACTCATATCAAACAAGAACCTTCAAGCAAGTGAATTTATTTTTGAAGATATCAAGGAATTTGATTGCCTAGTGAAACCTGATTTTTACTCTAATACAAAACAAAGAATAATGTTTAATAAAACATGCAGTTGAATTTTCAGTATTGTACCCTGCCATTAAATATGCAATTGTCATTTTTAAGTTGAATGACTGCTCCTCTTCTTGGTACACTAAAGCGTCTAACCTGCTGAATATCTGTTGTTCAACACACATGTGAAAGTGGTTTGCAAGTTCTTCATATGTTGCAAGTGGTCATTTAAATACATCTACTTCAGAATGAGCCAAAACTCTATAGTATGTCAAATTTTGCTTAGTACTACTAAGTAGCACATAATTTATTGACATGAACAGGGTATTGGTTCTGCCTGCATACTTCCTCAGGGAATGGCTTTCCAGCAGCCTAGTACAGTTACGTGATTTTTCCAGACAAACTGGAATTCCATTACTATAATTTACAGTGCTTCAAAATCTGCTTAGATGAGCAGAGTTGTTAGACATAGTTTAAATCCAGTTGACCTATGTGGTACTTTAGCATATGATTAAGTGCTCTGAAAAGTTTGTTTGTTTGAAATAAGCATAAATATTAATGCCTAGTAAGAATATTGCAACGCAGAGCTGTGAGTAGCGGTTATTCTGGAGTTAAATGTGTACACTGCTTGTAAATAAACTGTTTCTCCTCTTAGTACACTGTGTTGAAAATGTAGAAGAATCTGTCTCAGTTAGAGCTCCTTAAGAGGGAATTAAATACATTGTAATGAGATATAAAACCATTATGCCTAGATTACTCCTTCACATCAAATCTAGATTTGAAATGAAAGTTATTATCTGCTGTTTGTTTGAGCTTATGTCTGTCTAAAACTAGCTTGGTTGCCCTGATTGCATTCACCTTAGAAAAATATGTCACAAATACGAGACAATGACTTACAAAACTGTCCTGTTTGCACATGCCTGAGTGACTACATCTAGGTCAGTCTGCTAGGCCAAATTATTCCCAAGCATTTATTTAGGCTACACAGCTTCACCTATATGCACATAACATTCCCACATGGCAAGATATCAGTATATCTCCACTCATGCCTACGCTAATAAAACACACAGGGACTGCTAAATCAAGATTTAAGACAGAGGAAGGCAGGATCTAAGGCAAAACTCACAAGATTTGCTCTAAGTTTGGCAAGTCTTTTCTGGGCCTTTTCTCACTACCAAGTCATCAGCACCTTTCTCATCTATCGTGTAGGGTTTTTAAGCTCTGCCTGCCATTTACCTTCAATGTCCACACAAACCTCATTGAGCAAGTATGGTGCATCAACCTATGATCTACAAGGTGGGCGTAGAGAAGACAAAGCTTTTACCAAGTAGAACTTCAAGAGACATCTAGAAAAGCACAAGAGACAGCTAGTGAATCTGCAAGAATTTGGTCAGAAAGAAAGAGTAAGTTGTTGTCCAAGTAGTTTTGAGTTGGCAGTTTTTGAGCCTACATTCACCATTGTTAAAAAAATTACAGGTACACAGGCTGATCCCCTCAGCTTCTGTACCCATAAATTTTTGGCAGAAGGTTACATTCCTGAGCCAGTTGTTGGAGCTGGTGCTATGTTCAATTCAGCAACCTGCATTTTCTGGGCTTTTGTTGCAATCCTGAAGCAGGCAACACTAACCTTCAAGGGATGAGCCGCACAGCAGTTTGATACTGCATGGTTAACATGATTATAATTACGGTCCGTGGCACCACCTGAAATATTTAGTGTAAGGGCCACAGAATTCAGGACACATATCCAACACTGCCAGCCCATAGACAAGAAATCCAGTGACTAACACAGGGAGCCTGCTGTCACAATCAAAAGAACAGAGTGAAATGACAGCATTGTCTCAGCAGAAGTATTCATGCATACTTACATTAAGCCTACTGGCTGTAAACAACACTCGTGTATCAGTATCAGAACTCCAGTAGCTGTCTCCTGTGATAAGCTAGCACCTGTTCGAAACATGGGGTAACAACTACAACATTGTCAGCAGCACTGCCTTAACTCTGTTGCTCTGGTGCCTAATGTTGTTCTGTACAATCATCAAACCTATTGGAAATAGTGGGTCCTTAACTTCTGCCAGGTGACCATGAACTAGGCCTTCAGGCATCTCCGTACACACCAGCTTTGCCTTCTGCACTGGCAGGATTATCACGATCTGCTGCATACTTTGTAATTCACATGAGGAACGGCAAACCCATCCAACCTGGTGGCTTGCAGGTTCATACATTGTTTCTGGACAGTGATCCTCCTCAGGAGGGCATCTCATAGGATGGATATGTCTCCTTGCCAGCACTTACTACACAATAGAAAAGGGTGGATTTGTGGAAAGAGGGAGGAAGGCAGAGGAGGAGGGAGGGAAGGAGGGGGAAGGCAAGACATGGAATTGTTCATAGTCCAGCAAAATGCAATCACTTGCTTCACATATCCAGCACATCCTAATGCCACCTATGAATGATACCTATGCAAGGAGGTTCACCTTTCTCTTCCTTTCATGGCTCCCCAAAGGCAGGACCCTCCATTCCACTTCATATTCCTCCAAGCGATCTGGACACAGCCTCTCTTCCTTGAAAAGCTAACAGCAGGACCAGTCACGTAAAAGGTAGCATTTAGATGTCACAAAAAAGAGAGAAAATTATAGTCTTTCCAAGACAGAAAACCCATATATTGTTATGTGCAACTATTTTGTTGCTTTTCCAAGTGCCAAAGTGTACATAAATTTGCAATAAAGGGTGAAGAAATATGTTGGCAGTACTGCATCAGTGTTCCATGGATAGCTGTTTATCCAGTGAAGGGTACTTCCCTCTTATGTTACTAGGATCAGCTCACAGAGCTTGCCCACTGTGAAGACCAAGTCTTTCTTCACAGCAGTTTCACTGCATGACTGGAGGGGTCCACTTCTGGGTTACACTGGGCAAATGACTTGGAAAAAAACCCCTCAAAGAATCCCAAACTAAACATGTTTCTTGAATGCTTGGCTGATAAGGAAGAGGAAGCCTGGCTGATTAGAGATCAGTTTGAGAGCTGCTGCTGAAGAGAAGTCCATGCTGGCTGACAACAGACAGGTAAAAAACCAACCAAACAAAAAAACCAAAACCAAACCAAAACCTTGGGCTACCAGCCAGCTCAGCCAAGCAGCTAGTAGTAGAGTGCTAGGGAGTATATTCTGGAAGGAACATTTCACTACAAGGTGGGCACCCGGCTCTGGCTGGTAACATCAGTGGACGGATGCTCTGTCAGTGTTGATAGTATACCCGCAGCCACACAACTGTGCCAGATGTATCTGTAACATTATCCAGAAGTATCCTTGGGATAAAAGCTTGTGAGTCCTTCTGTTTTCATCATTGTTGGTACCAAAATACCACTTCTCCCATTAAGAACATATAGGCTGAACATTGACTTTGCTTCTGTATTTCAGGACTTTCTGCATTACGCATGAGAAAGTGCCATCTTCTTGCCGCAACCACCAATGCTCTTGTGAAAGTCTTGCTGTAGTCAGTAGTTTATTTTGTAAACTTCAAGCTAGTACAAGTAACTAGAAAATATGACTTCACCATGTCCATAAAGTTCTTATAGCATACATATTTCATCCCTATGATGTCTTACTGAGATCAAGTAACACCTTAGGTACTAGATTCCTGATTGCTAGCTAGGGAGAAGAGAGACATGCATACCTTAGAGGCTTTGCTGCAGATTTTTTTTAAGGGGATGTTATTATTTCAGTGTATGGTCACAGAGTCCCTGACAAGTCTGCCATGCAGATTTCTAGGATACATGTCAACAAGATACGATTTTGAAGGGTGCAAAGGACATTATTGGCACAAGCAATAATGATCAAAATAGTCTATTATCAATCCAAAATGGTCTTGTTGGTGAAAGGCTAAGCTTGTACAAAGCATGTACTCTCTTCCTTCCGCTATTAGAGTTGCAACTTCACTCTGAAGCATAAAGTTTATATTGCTTCCTCTACATACAAAAATGTAGTCCACTGTCAGTCTGTTACTTTAAATGAAAAATATCCTTCAAACCAAATATTCAAGTCAAACCCTGAAAATATCAACTATTATCACCTTGCCGTTTAACTAGAAACAGATTTTAAGAAGCTGTAGATTTAACTTTGCTAAATAAAACACATTCACAGTACCCTTCTCTTTTGCCCACTGGAGAATGGCATGTATGCTACCAAACACTAAACCTGTGTTTGCTGTGAGAAAAGAAACAAAATGACAACCCTAAATGTTTCAACAGGATTTTGGTCTAAAATTTCATATTCAAGTCTCACACTTTGGCATAAGGCACAGTTACTTTACTAGTGACCGTTAACACCCCTTGTACTCAAAAGCACAGCTGAGGGGACAGAACAGTGACAACTGCAACATTACCCAGCTAGATGGCCTGAATCTTCAATCCTAAAATTTCCTTTTTCTGGGAGAACTGTTTGGTTAAAGTCCTAGATTATGAATCAGAGGGGGAAAAAAACCTCAAAACCAAACCTTTGCGACTTGCAAATTTTAATCAGAATTTTGCCCTTTTATGATTTTAGAAAGAAGACAAAGCTGAATCCAACATGGGAATTTTTTTGTTCCTTTAAAATTTGAAATGTTACGAACAATTTTTTTTGTGAGTTACGATATCTAGCCGTGCAAATGGGAGAACATTATCTGCAGTGTTATAAATTGAGAAAAATATTTCAATTCCACAGGTACTGAAGACAGATATATCTGTACCAAGGACAACATAGTTTATATTCGAATAGCAAAATTAAGAACAACACATTTTATAATTAACAAGTTCTTCATATGTCCTACTTTAGTTTTCTTTTTCTTGAAACTTGTATCAACACAAGTGAATTTAAGGGTTTTTCTTAAGGACAGCTAGAGTTGCCACAGTAATCAATTAAAATAATAATCACTCTCTGCTATCTATATGTAGAAAACTATAAACACTTTAGTTACATCAGTATTGCACACTGAAGCTCAGGTATTTCTGTATTGTTAGTAGAGACCATATAACATTGCAGCCAGAATCACCACAGCTGCTCAGGCAAACAAGCCCTGTTCTCATAGCACCTCCGGGAAAATGAATGCTGTCATGTCCTAGCTTGGACTAAACAAAGCTCTAGAACCTCCATCCTGCTTGCAAATGTAAAGCAGATGTGTAGTTATTAATATTTAATTTAGAATCCCATTTTCTGCATGTTTACTTTCTAGCAGTGAACAGTTCAGATGCTGCTACAAAATCTAAGGCCCTAAATCAATAAAAGTTATTTAGAGCACCACAATTGAAAATATGACAACATCTTATCTTCTATATGGGTAGGGGAGGAAGGAAAAAGGATTTAATTTCTTATGTTAGTAAAATTCAGAAAAAGGATTGAGTGCAAATCACGGAAGTTACACTTAAGCCTCCAATCACTGAGCTAACAGCTAAGACTTCAGACCATCCACTTCCATCTCCTATGGGGGAAAACTGTGCGTAAGGGGGAACACCAACCATTATTTTGACAGCTGCAAATAGCAGCAGAAAAATTCAAACATGCATGCTGCACGCATAAGATGCATAAGTGATTAAGGCGAAGTATTGCTTCAGCAGGAAAAACAAGTTGTTAACTACTGCTGTCTGAGAACTAAATCTATATGGTGTAAAACAGCACTTCACAAATATCTATGCATCCAAATAAGCTGTCTTGGATAAAAATAGGCATGTTAAATAGGCCAGATAGAGTACTGAGCTGATGCAGATAGTCTGCATTCAGTATTTAAGTTGGCTTATTCCTGGCTTGGTTTCTTTGCATGGTCCAGCATTGCCATATGCCCAGATACAACATGCATAGAGAAGTTTTAAGATTATATATCATTTAGCATGCTTAAGTACACTTTAATCAAAAGCTTTTACTGCAACACTACTGGGGTAGATTGAAAGCCTTTTACATTGTGCTAGCAACCACACAGAGAGATTAGCGTGTAGACAGTTGATTCCCCATTAGTCCTGTCAATAAATAAATAAAAAAAGGCAGTGATCTTTTGCAGGGATAAGGATATGCGGGCTATGTACACTGATAATCACACACATACTTTCCATTGCTGCCATCTCATAAACAGCACCGTCTTCTCTTTTGAACACTGCAATTCATGGAGCCTGTGAACAAGCCAGTTCGTTTCCAGAATGAAATGTATTACATACCTACACTATAAGAGTACTACAAAATAATTTGAGGGTGCTTTATTTAGACAAGACTGAGGGGGAATATAATGATCTTGAAATATATGGCAGATCTGCAATAGAACAAAGCTCGTACCATTCACTAAGTGTAATAGGCTTAGAATTACTAAAAACAAGATTTAGACTACACATCAAGAAAAACAAAATTAAAAATCAATTTACTAGAAAGGACAGTAAGCTTTGAACTAGATTTCTCAACTTACCTAAACAATCTTCATACTTGGAAGTGCAAGACTAACTTTCAGAAACATTGCAACAATGTTGGTATATTTGTTCGTGCTTTGATCAGTAGGTTTAACGTACATCTTCACAAAACTGTGTTTTCTGTGTTTAGAAAGACGAGGGGCCTTTGGACTCTATCAGAGTACAGAATAAGAACACCTGTATTTGATCTGAACAGAAATCCACCTAGCCATGCATCTTTTCTTGGTCAGTGGCCAACGCAGGTTCAAGAATAAGATCAATGCAAATGTATTGCACTTCCCTGCAGAATCTCCAGGTTTCAAAACATTTGTGACATACAGGTTTTTGAAAGTGCCTAAAACTAGGAATTTCATAAAGATTCCTCATAAATATAATTTACCTTACTTATAAGCTTTTTTGCTGGAATTTTTTTTTTTTTTTAAAGAAAACGCTGTGGAAGCGATAAAGAGTCTGTTGTTAGAAATTAATAATTCTTTGTACAATGCATGATCCAGTTGGATAGCTGTTGAACTGACACTGGCTTTTCCTTAAAACATGAACAACGAAAAGCTTGGGTGAGAATGTGTACTATTTCATCCTCTACCTTTATGGATCAGGTTTTCTGAAGCTACATTGCATGAATCTTTGCTTCTATTAAACAGAATGAGGCTTAGGGAAGAAGATCAATAAACAAAGTGCCCTTTTGGAATAACAGTTCAAAAAGATCTCTGGCATAAGTTTTTTGAACTCAGACCATGTCCTTGCCATATACAGAATCATAGAGTATCTCGAGCTGGAAGGGACCCATAAGGATCAAGTCCAACTCCCTGCTCCTCACAGGACTACCTAAAACTAAACCATAAGGCTAAGAGCATTGTCCAGGCTCTCCTTGAA